TAGATGTCTGTAAACTTATATGAGTCGAGAATCTAGATTTGTTATGATTCTGTCTACAAATTGTATGCAATTCAATCTTTTACTTTCTTTTGTCAATTACTATTGATTATTTAACAAATTTGTCAACCCATACTCAATAAGTGTAAGCTGTTCGAAATAGACGAATGTTTTGAAGAATTTGGCAAGAAATTTAAATTCTACTTAATTTTAATCGTTGATATGTTCATTGTTTATGAATATATACAAATATAAGTCGAGACTAATCTGTGAAATTTTGTATATTCTTTGAGATTTTCTTAATATCTCTCTTGGTAATATTACATTCGTTGTACTTAAGTTTTGTGTTTGTATCATCAATTTAACGATTGAAGAGTGATTTCCACTACGAGTAATTTTCGATTCTCTTCGACAATTTACAATTTTTTTATACATCCACACTATAATTGCGAGGAGAGAACTCGATTGTGCTTGCATGTGTTGCAATAAATTGGATGTGAAATTTGTTCTGTAAATCTTCACAAATCGTCAAACATATTCTTTTTCTATTTTTTCATTACGAAATTTCTTGAACAAAAATCTAATGGAGAAAACTTATATTGTCGAGATGTCTGTAAACTTATATGAGTCGAGAATCTAGATTTGTTATGATTCTATCTACAAATTTTATGCAATTCAATCTTTTACTTTCTTTTGTCAATTACTATTGATTATTTAACAAATTTGTCAATCCATACTCAATAAGTGTAAGCTATTCGAAATAGACAAATATTTTGAAGAATTTGCCAACAAATTTAATCTCTACTTAATCTTAATTTTAATCTTAATCTTCGAAAAGTTCAATGTTTATGAATTTATAAGACGAGTCTAATTTGTGAAATATTGTATATTCTTTGAGATTTTCTTAATATCTCTATTTGTATTATTACATTCGTTGTACTTTTATTTTCGTATTTATATCATCAATTTAACGATTGAAGAGTTATATCCACTAAGAGTAATAATTAGATATATCTCTTCGAGTATTGTTCGCTGATTGCACACACGTGATGCAATAAATTGTATGTGAAATTTGTTCTGTGACTTCATTACCAAATTTATTCAACAAAAATCTAATAGGGAAAATGGATTTATGTTAAATTATATGAGTTGAGAATCTGGATTTGTTATGATTCTATCTACAAATTGTTTGCAATTCAATCTTTTCCTTTCTTTTGTCAATTACTATTGATTATTTAACAAAATTGTCAATCCATACTCAATAAGTGTAGGCTGTTCGAAATAGACGAATGTTTTGAAGAATTTGCCAACAAATTTAAACTCTACTTAATCTTAATTTGAATCTTAATCTTCAAAAAGTTCAATGTTTATGAATTTATAAGACGAGTCTAATTTGTGAAATTTTGTATATTCTTTGAAATTTTCTTAATATCTCTATTTGTATTATGACATTTCTACTAAGAGTAAAATTAAGATGAATCTCATCTAATGTTTTATAGTTTATGGTGTTGCATGTGAAATTTGTTCTGTGATTCTTCAGTAATCAATGAGTGTATTAAATATATGGATTGAAACTCACCAGTTTGCGTTTCCTTATCACCGGCAGTCGTGTTGTAATTTCGCAACTTGAAAAACGGCAGCATCGAGTCGACACGTTCGGTAAAATGAACAGGATCTTCGTAATTCCAAGCTAAAATCAAGTCGTTTTCCTTCCACGCAACTAAAAATTATAAAGAAGTTACATAAAATGTTATGTTCTTCAGTAAAAATTGTATTGAAATCTCGTGATGTTTGGTAAAAAATGTTTGAGTGAAAGAAAGGTTAACAACGTACAGCTGGATATCGACAGAGCGCATTTCTGGTGATCAAAGGGGAATTTCGAGAAATCCATGGGACAGTACACGACCAAAGAGTATCTGCAATCACACAAGAAAATAAAAAACATACACATTTCATTTCACTTACTGCAAATGCAGATCGAAGAAAAGCAAACTGAATTCGGATATCGTTTCAGTTTCAGCAAGAAAACAACATTTATTTTAACAACAACAACAAAATAATTTAACTTCTTGAGTAGAATATTTAAAGAAATCTTTAATAAATTGATTTTGTTATGCTTGTCTCTGGAAATTCACTCAAAACGTAGTGAATGTGATCGAGCAAAGTCGAGGGACGTTTAATTAATCTTCTTGTTGGCTTACATAATCGGATAACATTCAGTCCGTCATCGGCGTTTTTGTCCCAAGAAACTTGACATATAAACACAGAGGATACGAATCTTCGGATCACATCAACTAAATCATGAGTTTGTTCGTCTTTCCATATTTTTTAGATCAATAACGTTACATAATCATATCTAAATTCTATAACGTTAAGTTTTGTAATCGCTAATTCTGTTGCGATTTCTTAATATAAAATTATTTGATTTGGAAACAAATTGTAAAAAAAGGTAACAAAAATTTGATGATTTGTTACTGTCTTTTAGCCGCAATAAAATATACAAAATGATATTGTATTAAGTTGAAAAGTTTTCGTTTTAAGAATCTGTACTTTTTTCAATTCACTGAAAAAGTCTATTCTTTAAAATTTTGCTCTTATTAAAACTGAAAAATAATAGTTGATATTATTTTAATGTCCATTTTTATATTGAAACTTTTTTGATGATTCTCTGTTTGTGCGTAAGAAAATCCTTGCAGATCCTTGCGTTATTTATGTGCTTCGGTTTAATTTAATTGCAATAGTATTGGATGATTTTACTCGTGTTTAGACACAAAAATATTTCCAAATTTTTGTTGCTATTTTTGATGGGGTTTATTTGAGTTTTCATGTTTTGTTTTAAGAACAAGATGCAAAAATATACAAAGATTTTTTTTCAAAATTTAATAACAAAAATATTCTAGAAATATGTAAGGTCCTTAACGATTAGCATTGTCTGATTATGGTGGATTTTTGTGACGATTTTTGCAGATTTATTAAAATTTGTATAAATAATTCGTTGTTTCTGTGTAAGAATATTTGCAGATTCTTTCTAAAAAACGATTTTTCAAAGTTTGATCTTTTGAAAACACAAAAATAATGGTAGATTTTCGAAATTTTATTTTCTAATTGAACTCGTCTAATTCTGGTCGACTTTTGTGGCGATTTAGAGACAAATTTTGTATATAAAAGGTAACAAAAATTTGATGATTTGTTATTGTCTTTTAGCCGCAATAAAATATACAAAATGATATTGTAACATGTTGAAAAGTTTTCTTTTTAAGAATTTGTACTTTTTTCAATTAACTGAAAAAGTCTATTCTTTAAAATTTTGCTCTTATAAAAACAGAAAAATAATAGTTGATTTCTATATTATCCATTCTTATGTTAATGCCCATTTTTATACTTAAACTTTTTTGATGATTCTCTGTTTGTGCGTAAGAAAATTTGCAGATCCTTGCGTCTTACAAAGTTTATTAAAATTCAATTGAAACAATTATATTTATAGTTTTTACGTGTTATTTATGTGCTTCGGTTTAATTTAATTGCAATAGTATTGGATGATTTTACAATAATATTGCCAAATTTTTCATGCTATTTTTGGTGGGGTTTATTTGAGTTTTCATGTTTTGTTTTAAGAACAAGATGCAAAAATATACAAAGATTTTGTTTAAACGATTAGAATTGTCTGATTGTGGTGGATTTTTATAGTGTTTGTGCAGATTTATTAAAATTAGAAACAATTTTTTCTTTGTTTCAGTGTAAGAATAGTTATAGATTCTTACAATTTACTGATTTTTTCAAAGTTTGCTCTTTTGTAAACACAAAAATACTGGGAGATTTTCGAAATTTTCTTTTCTAATTGAACTTGTCTTATTCTGGTCCACTTTTGTGGTGATTTAGAGACAAATTGTGTATATAAAAGGTAACAAAAATTTGATGATTTGTTATTGTCTTTTAGTCGCAATACAATGTAGAAATTAGTGTTTATATGTTTCAGTGTGGGAATAGTTACATATTCTTATAATATATTAAAAAACCATGATTTTTCAAAGTTTTCTCTTTTGAAAACACAAAAATAATGGTAGATTTTCGAAATTTTCTTTTCTAATTGAACTTGTCTTATTCTGGTCCACTTTTGTGGTGATTTAGAGACAAATTGTGTATATAAAAGGTAACAAAAATTTGATGATTTGTTATTGTCTTTTAGCCGCAATAAAATATACACAATTTCATAGAAATGATATTGTAACAAGTTCAAAAGTATTTTTTAAGAATTTGTACTTGTCTACATGTAATATTTCCATCATTTTATAAATTTACTGAAATTCTTGTCTTTAAAATTTTGCTCTTATGAAAACACAATTTTCAATTCACAGAATTTTGTAATTTTATATTTATTTATATCATATTATTTTATTTTTTTTTAAATTTTTTCCATTTTCTCCTGTTGACTTAACAGGCAATTGAGATTTTCAAGAATTGCTTGATTTACTTTTACAATTGTAGAAGCCTTTGAAAATTTTAGTCATTTTCACTTATGAAACGTATAATTTTGTTCTTTGCTCTGATTTTTTGCAAAATCTTTCCAGAAAGCTCTTAACTTCAGAGTCTAAAGTTTTTAATGATTTAAATTGGTTGAACATAAAAGTATATTCAATTGCTTTGTTTCAATTCTTCAATCTGAAGTATCCTTACAAAATATTTTGGTATTTTTTTGAGATAATTTAAGAATTTACAGAATTTTGTAATTTTCTATTTATTGTTGCCAATTTTTCCTGTTGACTTAACAAGCAATTGAGATTTTCAAGAATTGCTTGATTTACTGTTACAATCATAAAAGCCTTTGAAAATTTGGTTTTGTTCAATTATGAACATGAATTCTTTGCTCTGCTTTTTTTTGCAAATTTTTTCCAGCTCTAAACTTCAGAGTCTAAAGTTTTTAATGATTTCAATTGGTTGAATACAAGAATATATTCAGTATTTATTTGTTACTAAATGTAACGAAATATTTTCCATACTTATGAAATTTCCAATTAATTTGAACAACACTTGCGATTTGTTTGCTATTATCTTGCTAACAAGCATTTCTATTTGTTATATGATTAAAACGATTCCTTTTATTGTTTCCATTAACAATATTTCCACTCGAAATTGCTGAATTCGCTTGGTTTTAAATTATTTGTATAAAAAAAAGGTTTAACAAATTTGATGATTTGTTACTATCTTTTAGCCGCAATAAAATATACACAATTTCAGAAAAATGATTTTCTAACAAGTTCAAACGTATTTTTTTAAGAATGTGTACTTGTTTACATGAAATATTTACAACATTTCATCAATTTGAAAATCTATTCTTTAAAATTTTGCTCTTATAATAACAACAAATTTACAGATTTACATTTCAGTATCAAATTTTTGTGATACTTGTATGTGATTTTTGAATTTCTTTTATATTTTCTTCAAATATAATTTAATTTAAGAATTTACAGAATTTTGTAATTTTCTATTTGTTTTTTATTTAAGATTTTTTTGTTATATTTTTTCTATTTCATTTATGCTACGTATACATTTGTTCTTTGCTCTGATTTTTTGAAATTTACAGAATTTTGTAATTTTCTATTTATATGTTAAGAAAATCAGTATGAAAATCTTTTGAAATGTTTCCATTTTTATCATTAGATTGAATATCACCTCAGATTTTAAAGAAATGCTTAATTTACTGTTATATTTTTATATTGTTTGGAGATAATTTAAGAATTTACAGCATTTTGTAAATTAACTATTCATTTGTAACATTTACAAACGAAATATTTTCCATATTGTTGAAATTTCCAATTAATTTTAACAAAACTTGTTCACGAATTGTTTCCATTATTTCCACACGAAATTGCTGAATTCGCTTGGTTTTAAATTATTTGTATGGCAATATCAATATTTGCCTATATTTTGCAATTTGTGCAAAATTTATTTCGAAAAAACAAAAACAAAAAGCAAACACTAAAAACGTTCATACAGATATAAAAAAAAATCTCAATGATAAATTTATTTTATTTGTGCAAATAAATCTATACTCACTTCAATTTTTAAATTTGTTTAAAGATTGTAATAAGAAATTACCTTAAGTTTAAGATTCATCTACTCATTCTTTCTCTTTTGAAAACACAAAAATAATGGTAGATTTTCCTTTTCTAATTAAACTCGTCTAATTCTGGTCGACTTTTGTGGTGATTTAGAGACAAATTATGTAAAAAAAGGTAACAAAAATTTGATGATTTGTTATTGTCTTTTAGCCGCAATAAAATATACAAAATGATATTGCAACAAGTTCGAAAGTTTTCTTTTTAAGAATGTGTACTTGTTTACTGAAATATTTACAACATTTCATCAATTTGAAAATCTATTCTTTAAAATTTTGCTCTTATAATAACAACAAATTTACACATTTGCATTTCAGTATCAAATTTGTGTGACATATTTTTGAATTTTTTCTATATTTTCTTCAAATATAATTTAATTTAAGAATTTACAGAATTTTGTAATTTTCTATTTCTTTCTTATTTAAGTTTTTTTTGTTATATTTTTTCTATTTCATTTATGCTACGTATACATTTGTTCTTTGCTCTGATTTTTTGCAAATTCCTTCCGGAAAGCTCTAAACTTTCAGAGTGGAAAGTTTTTAATCATTTGAATTGTTAAATAGAATATTTCACTGTATAGATAATTTAAGAATTTACAGAATTTTGTAATTTTCTTTTTATGTTGATACTGATCAAAATCTTTTGAAATGTTTCCATTTTTATAATTAGATTGAATATCACCTCAGATTTTAAAGAAATGCTTAATTTACTGTTATATTTTTATATTGTTTGGAGATAATTTAAGAATTTACAGCATTTTGTAAATTAACTATTCATTTGTAACATTTACAAACGAAATATTTTCCATATTGTTGAAATTTCCAATTAATTTTAACAAAACTTGTTCACGAATTGTTTCCATTATTTCCACACGAAATTGCTGAATTCGCTTGGTTTTAAATTATTTGTATGGCAATATCAATATTTGCCTATATTTTGCAATTTGTGCAAAATTTATTTCGAAAAAACAAAAACAAAAAGCAAACACTAAAAACGTTCATACAGATATAAAAAAAAATCTCAATGATAAATTTATTTTATTTGTGCAAATAAATCTATACTCACTTCAATTTATGAAATTTGTTTAAAGATTGTAATAAGAAATTACCTTAAGTTTAAGATTCATCTACTCATTCTTTCTCTGTTGAATCATGTTTGTCCAAATTTTAGTCAAAATTTTAAGATACACAATTTAAATTTCAATTGTCGAGTCTACATTCACACTGTGTTTTGTAAAACTCGATTAAGATTAAGAACAATTTCTTCCTTTCTGTTGAAATATCAACACACACATAAATTTTATCACTGCAGTTCTCGTGGTGAAATTATTAATTTTATACTAATATTAACGAATCTAAGGTTTAACTTTTAAATTCATTTGTTTTACATCTATATCAAAGTATAAAAGATTTTGTCAGGTATTTTTAAGTTGTATGCATAATGGATTCTTTCTGTGATAACGTTAACCGAAGTTTGATTAATGATTTGATTCGAAGTTAACAACAATTTCATGATTTGTTACTGTCCTTTAGCCGCAATACAATGTACAAATTAGTTATTCTTTGTTTCAGTGTAAGAATAGTTACTGATTCTTACAATTTACTAAAAAACAATGATTTTCAAAGTTTGCTCTTTTGAAAACACAAAAATAATTGTAGATTTTCGAAATTTCCTTTTCTAATTGAACTCGTATAATTTTGGTCGATTTTTGTGGCGATTTAGAAACAAATTGTGTAAAAAAATGTAACAAATATTTGATGATTTGTTACTGTCCTTTTGCCGCAATACAATGTACAAATTAGTGATTCTATGTTTCAGTGTAGGAATAGTTACAGATTCTTACAATTTACTAAAACAATAATGATCTTTCAAAGTTTGCTCGCACAAATTTTATCACTGCAGTTTTCATATTGGAATTATTAATATTTACCAATATTGACGAATCTAAGGATTAACTTTTAAATTCATTTGTTTTACGTCTATATCAAAGTATAAAAGATTTTGTCAGGTATTTTTAAGTTGTATGCATAATTGATTCATTCTGTGGTAACGTTAACCGTTAACCGTTTGATTAATGATTTGACTCGAAGTAATCTGTCGAAGTTAACAACAATTTCATGATTTGTTACTGTCCTTTAGCCGCAATACAATGTACAAATTAGTGATTCTTTGTTTCAGTGTAAGAATAGTTATAGATTCTTACAATTTACTAAAAAACCATGATATTTCAAAGTTTGCTCTTTTGAAAACACAAAAATAATTGTAGATTTTCGAAATTTCCTTTTCTAATTGAACTCGTATAATTTTGGTCGATTTTTGTGGCGATTTAGAAACAAATTGTGTAAAAAAATGTAACAAATATTTGATGGTTTGTTACTGTCATTTAGCCGCAATACAATGTACAAATTAGTGATTCTTTGTTTCAGTGTAGGAATAGTTACAGATTCTTACAATTTACTAAAACAATTATGATTTTTCAAAGTTTGCTCGCACAAATTTTATCACTGCAGTTTTCATATTGGAATTATTAATTTTTACCAATATTGATAAATCTAAGGGTTTACTTTTAAATTCATTTGTTTTACGTCTATATCAAAGAATAAAAGATTCTATCGGGTTTTGGACGTTGTGCATTTGATGGCATATTTCTGTGGTAACGTTAACCGAGGTTTGATTGATGATTTGACTCGAAGTAATCTGTCGAAGTTAACAACAATTTCATGATTTGTTACTGTCCTTTAGCCGCAATACAATGTACAAATTAGTGATTCTTTGTTTCAGTGTAGGAATAGTTACAGATTCTTACAATTTACTAAAAAACCATGATTTTTCAAAGTTTGCTCTTTTGAAAACACAAAAAACTATCCACACGCACAAATTTTATCACTGCAGTTTTCATAGTGGAATGATTCATATTTACCAATATTGATGAATCTAAGGGTTTACTTTTAAATTCATTTGTTTTACGTCTATATCAAAGAATAAAAGATTCTGTCGCGTTTTCTTAGTTGAGTATTTGATTGCATATTTCTGTGGAAACGTTAAGCGAGGTTTGACTGTATGTTTATATTTACATCTATTTTGCTTATGTAATTTTATAGGCCAATAAAACTATTAATATAGTTATGTAATTGCGGTACTTGAAATTGAGTTACATAACGATTTTGCGCGGAGACGGGTCTGAAAGTTGATTCTCCTTAAGAAATTAGTCGAAAATACGCATTATTATTACATTTACATTTTAGTATTTTTTTTTGATATTTTTTTCCATTTTGTCCTTTTGCCTTAATAAACAATTTATATTTTTAAGAATTGCTTAATTTACTGTAACAAATGTAGAAGCCTTTGGAAGTTTGGTCTTGTTCACTTGTGAAACGTATAAATTTGTTCTTTGGAGACATACAAAAATGTCTGATTATTTGCAAATTCTTTCCAGAAAACTGTAAACTTCAGAGTAATTGTATAGGCCAATAAAACTATTAGTATTGTTATATAATTGCGTTACCTGAATCTTCTGCAATTGAGTTACATGACGATTTTGCGCGGAGACGGATCTGAAAGCAGATTCTCGTTAAGAAATTAGCCGAAAACACGCAGACGTTTCGGCAGCAATCGGGGGGAACTAATTGAAACGCGAATTAGCGATGAATTCCCTTTCAGATCGCTCTCGAAATCCACCTTTAAATTATATATAGATATAGATATATAGAATATGCACGGCGCCGATCGAAAACCGAGTCTGAATAATTGAATGTATTTTCGGAAATCCAATCCAATTTGTGACAAAAACACACGCTTTTCGCACATTGAACATTGAGAGTTTATGATGTGGTCCAAACAAACAAAAAAAAACAACAAACAAACAATAATCCTACGTTTAATGCGGACGTAATTAGTGATTTAAAATTTGGCGCCGATTCGATGATTAAAGCCGGTTTATTATGGAAATTTAATATAAAATTTAAACTTTGTGAAATGCTGCTGTGATTCTGCTGGAAAATTTTCGGTAATTATAGGTAAAATTCGTCAATGCATTTTATTGAAATCGAATGAAATAACATTTGCGTCAATGTTTCGAATTGAATGTAAAAACATGTTCAACAATAGCTCGAACGTGTCCTTTTTTTTGTTGGATTTACATTTCACTTTTCAGTTTTGTTAAAAGTAGAGAATTTTATTAAAAATCAACTCATCATTTTATAATAATCCACAAAGTAAACTCTATATTTTTGTAAAATACTTCATTTTTGTAAAAAAAAAAATGTTCGTGAAAAGTGTGTTGAACACCTGTGTGAACACCTGCATTGAACACTTGTGTTAACACCTGCATGAACACCTGTATTCAATACTTGCTTGAACACTTGCATTGAACATCTGCTTGAACACCTGCATTGAACACCTGTATTCAATAGTTGCGTGAACACCTGCATTGATCACTTATGTTCATACCTGCATTGAACACCTGCATTAAACACCTGTATTGAACATCTGCGTGAACACCTGCATTGAACACCTGTATTCAATACTTGCGTGAACACCTGCATTAAACACCTGTATTGAACATCTGCGTGAACACCTGCATTGATCACTTATGTTCACACCTGCATTGAATATCTGCGTGAACACCTGCGCGAAAACCTGTATTTTACACGTTAGTAACAATTCATTTTTCACTGAAAGTTTTCCCACATTCGAAACAATTAATTATTGAAAACTAAACTGAAAATGAAACAAAGAAAAATCGAGAGATTTTTGGTCGTAATTATTTCCAAAAATTGAAAGAAATTATCAAAGATTCATTTGCATTCCTTTAAGAAAGTCGTTCGAAATTTCATGAAGAAACTTTAATTAGAACTCTGTGAATAACATGGAGTAATTTCTCATATTCTAGAGAATAAATATTTCTTAAATTCTGAAGAAATTAATGCTGAAAATTCTCGTTTTTTTTGTGAGATTTATTTCTATTTTATTTATTTCTCCGATTAGTCCGGTTTTAAACAGTCCAGTATTAGACACAAGATTATTTTATTGTTTTCTTTAATTAGAAAATAAATCAATTCTTTATAACTTTGATTTTTCTAAGAGTAGTTAATAAAAAAACATACAAATTTCTTAAGCAGAAAAACGTTGATCTTGTTGCAGGACAAAATGTCAATAAAAATTGTCTTTTAATCATTAATTTTTCTATTTTACTTTATTTGTTATACAATAAATGAAAATGTTCACGAAATAAGTGAAATTGGTTGTAAATTCTCAACTTTTTTCAGATTTGTTTTCTAATTTTTCAATGAAATTATGCAGATAAATCAAAATACAATATTACTAATTTCAAAAGCGTTTTTACCTAAATATTATAAACCGATAATAACATTTGTCATAGATATTTAGAATCGAAAAGGAATTGCGTGCATTTACAGCAAAGAAACAATGTTAATTAGTGTAGAATTCGAAATTGCAATTTATAATTAATACGTAATTAGTGTACGAGCGGCTACAAAAGCTTAAACGTCAAAGTCAATTATTTGCACGTTATAATTAATGTCAAATATTTGCGTCGCACGTAAATCCTCACTCCGACAATCATTATTTATGAAATAACAGTATTTCATTGATATTGCACGAAGCGACAAAAAGAAAAAAAGGAAAGATAAAAACGTCCCGTGAAGAATTCCTTGCGGAAAATATATGACCGTGCGCGTATTTTATATATTCGCGTTTACTTTTTACTCTTTTTTTTTTCTATATACATTTTTTTTTTGCTTCTCCTCCTCTGTCTTCCCACTCGTCCATTCACTTTGCTCTTCCACGTATATATATATACATTTTCTTCTCCAGCTTCTTTTTGGCTAAAAAGATTTATGCTTTCCTATTGATTCTCCACCACCCACCTCCCCCCAAGCCGCCTCAAAAACGTCGGCAATATTTCCACATGCTACATTTTTAATGCGAAAATCAATAGGGTAAACAATTTTATTTAAAACTTTTTCCCCCATCCAGAACCTTCCTTTATTATTATTATACGCTTTTTTTTTTCTTTATATTAAAAACGCTCGTATGTGCGTACACTTCATCATTCGCTTAAGAAAACACAATTCCTCCTATATAAACAGTTTTCCTTTTTTTTTCAATAAGTTGAATGTATATACATTATATATACTTATTTCGTTACTAAATTTGATTACATTCAATGAAACTATCAATAGTTAAGTAATTCTTAGATTAGCTGTGTTTAATTTCTGTTTTCTTTACACAATTATCGAATTTCTTTACTAAGTTTGTTTAAAATCAATGAAATAATTTTTAGATTAAAATTCATTAAGTCCTGTTTTCTTTACATAATTATGGCATTTCCATACTAAATATGATTAATTTCAATGAAATTATCAATAATTATATTATCTTTTGATTAGATTTGATTAATTTCTGTTTTCTTTACACAATTATCGAATTTCTTTACTAAACTTGTTTAAAATCAATGAAATAATCAATAATTATATAATCTTTTTATTAACTTTGATTAAATCCTATTTTCTTTATATAATTATGGCATTTCCATACTAAATTTGATTAATTTCAATAAAATTATGAATAATTATATAATCATTTGAGTAACCTTTGAATA